TGCTGTCTCCAAGGGAAGGTGACGTGTCCTGTAGAACTTCTGTGCGGCCCTCAGGCCCACCGGAAATCCTGGGTACCTGTGAAAAACGCCTGTCCTTGCTTATCTGCGGTCGCTGAGGCCCTCAAGCCTCACTTCCGCCCAAGACCAGGCTTGTCAGAGCTTCCAAGGGCTTGCTCCCGCCAGAAATCCTGGGTACCTGTGAAAAACGCCTGTCCTTGTTTATGCGGTCGCTGCGGCCCTCAAGCCTCACATACTTTGGGCATATTTTCAGAGAGGCTAGTTCTTGGAAAAAAAGACATTAAGAAAGTAGAGAGTCGGAGAAAAGAGGAAAACCCTGAGCAAAGATGACTTGGCAATGGCTGTTACAATAAACTTGATCAGAGATCATGAGGATGGCACAAGGCAGGGCAAAGCTCTGATCTGTTGTTCAGAGGTTCACTATGAGTCAAAATATGGCATCTAACAACAACAAAACTAACCACTTCAGGGGTGATGGTGGAAATAAAGAACATTTTTACCGTAACTGAAAGATCTTTTACAGTTATAGAAATATGGATAATAAAACACAATAGTGAAAACATAAGAGTATTTCATATTCAAGTCTGTCAAATCTTTTCCCTGATCTTGGCTTAATTCTCCATCCTTTAGTTTAAGGATTTTCTAAGTAATCTAAAACAATCACATACATATGTGCTTGTGATAAGTGTTAGTACACTAATGTATCATTTTTCTAAGTTTTTACAGTATAGTTGATTTACATTAAATGACAATTTAAAGTTTACATTAAATATCATGGTTAGAAATCCTTGGGTACCATTTACATAAACATCTGCTCACAGAAAGATCACAGTAATAAACAAAGGAAATTGGGTTATTACACAAACGCACTAACCAAAACCTGCACACACCTAAGGAAATATCAAAGCTCCTCAACACGTTACATCAAAATAAGACCTTAGGATAAAACGAACTACATAGCCTTGGAAACTACTACTTTCTCAGAACCCTAACAATGTAGTGTGTATCTAAAAAACCAAATTTATCTATGTTTAAACTGATTCTGCCTTTACAAAATGTAGCAAATTTAATCCTAGACCTGGATGAAAGTAACAAAAAAAAATAAATTTAAGTATCTAAAACAATGTTCAAGTCTCCTTTATCAAAACAGTCCCTCAAGTAGGTGCTTAATCAGTCCCTTCTAAGAAGCTCACACAATACACCTGCTTGTATAGGGTATTTTACTCAGGAGGTAGAAAGTCCAGCTTATCAAGAACACTCCATTTGACTTTTAAACATCTTGAAAATGAACCCCTCTATTGTAACCAATTTGCATTTCTTTCCAAACAGAACCAAACTGTCATTTCAAGGAATGAACTTTCACAACCGTGAAAACTTTACTTAGCAAAATGAGATCTCTGAGGGTTATTTTCTTGGCAGCATTTCAGAGTGTAAATATGTAACTTTTAATCTCATGAATGAGATCTTTATTTTAAATTCTCACATGTAAAATTAATTACTTTATGCTATATTCTCTCACATAGTGACTGTGTGACCTACTTCGGCTGGCGATCCTTGCACATTTTAAGAATTTACAAAAAGACGTCTAGGGGCAACATCAGAAGCCTTGTTTCATCTCCCAAATACAAAACAGAAGTATGTCTACACCAAAGGAGTTTTGAGCCTAAACGAAATTATGACTAAGAAGAAAGAAAATATAAAACACAACAAAGCTTCTGTGAGCCAGCTCCAGCAGGCTGCTTGCACAGGTGCAGCAGGCGACAGGATACCCTAGGCGCATTTCAACCCATAGAGTAGACTTCCTCTGCAGGTCAGCTTCAGGCCCACCTGGGCCCCAGCACCCCACCACCAACCCGGGAAAACCAGACAGGCTCGTCCCCAGAGCAGCAAAGCCTCCCTCCTTCGGATACAGGCTTCCTTTCACACCAAAGACACAAAGAAATAGCAGCAACTGAACCAAAAAGAAAGTAAAACTTAAGAAGAAAGAAGATGACAGTAAAAATTTCCTGGTAGTTCAGTCGCAGTTGCAGACTAAAAACATACACCAAAGTGGGAGCAGTTGCAGGAACTCTGCTCCGTCCCTACTGGGACCACCTGGAGGGCGCTGGGGGCAGTCGGCAGCGGGGCGGGAAATGGTGCCCCGCACCCAGGTCACTGGATTCTCGAGGGAGTTGACACAGCAGGCGGCAGCTCAGGGCTCCCGGCGAGGTCACTGGATACCGTCCGGAGTTCACACTGCAGGCGGCGGCCCAGGACAGGGGTGCCCTCCGGATTCGCCAAGGCCCTCACAGCCCAAGCGGCAACCCCCTCTCGGCAGGTGCAAGCCCGCCACCCGACCCGACCCGCAGGCCGGCGCTCACCCAGCAGCGCCCGCAGGTGCTTGAGGCGAGTCAGCACATCCTTTTTCGGGTCCAGCACCTTCTGGGTGGACTTCCGGACATCCCCGTGGCTCCTTCGGGAAAACATGCCTTTCTTTGCCTGAAGCTCAAGCCCGGCCAGCGTGCAGGAGACGGATAGAAGGGCGAGTCACGCCTGAGTGCCTGACCGGCTCGAGCCACCACCCCCAGTCCCGCCGTGCTCCAGGAAAGAGGGGCGTTCCGGCCCAGTGGGGCGGACCAAGAAGGCGGTGCCCACACCACGGCCACCCACAAAGGCCCAGGGCCCGGGCGCCGCACACGCGCACTGGACAAGAACCATCTAGCGGGACTCCGCCCACCTACTTCATAGTACCAAGGGCGAGGAGCCGATCCAGCCAATCACAGAGGAGCTCTGACCACGCTCATGCGGGTCTACGACCCCCAGCATGCAGCCTGAGGCTACCCTCCTACCAAGTAGAACCATCCTATACACACAGTGAGCGGTTTTTGTTGTTAGTTTGGTTTGTTTTTTTTTACAGTGAGCGGTTTTGAGGGCGGTCCCGTTCCGCCCCTTCATGCGGAGCATGCGCTTCTGGGAAATGTAGTTCTAGAGGACAATCACTGCATCCTCTTTTGAACAGGCCTCTAGGTGCTGTGTTCTCCTACCTGAGCTTTTTCATTCACTCATCTCCTTGCTCACTCTTTTCCCCTGCAGTCCAAGTCTTGCAGCAAAAACATCTTAGTAAAAAAGTTTCAAAGCTTTAAAAAGGCAGATCATATCAAGTTTTGTCTACTGAATAGACACCAGGGAGCAAGCCAATTGAAATCCTTTTTATAGACACACTAAAATGAATAGATCTGGCAACATGAAAGGGTATGCCCATACTGCCTCCTGGCAAAGAGTCCTTAGAGCTATGCACCCAACCAACATCATTTACATGGTGAGGCTACTACCCAAATGCTCCCCAGATGCCTCTTGCTCCCAAAGAAGTGTGCATTCTTTCTCCTTAAGTCATCTGCATAACCATCCAGCAGCAACATCAAACACCCTGAGGCAGCATGCTCCTTAAATAGGATGCCAGTTCCCTGTGGCCAATTAAGGTAGAAGATGGCCTAGAAATTTCTTGTAAAAATCTCTAAAGGATTACATATTGGCATCTGGAACGTTTGATGACACAAGCCTGTGCATGTTTCTACTTTTTAAGGAAGTACCAAGAAATCAAAGCTGAACAGAAAATTTCAAAAGTCAGCTCGGGACGACAAAGCAAGATAATATAATAAAATGTGAAGAGAGCTGAAGTCAGAAAATCAAAAGGGCCGAACTCTCTCAGTTTCTTAAGCTGAAGGAGTTGAAAAACAAATTCAAGCCACGGGTGGCAATACTTAAGGATACTTTGGGTAGAATGTTAAATGATCCAGGAAGTATCAAAAGAAGATGGAAGGAGTACACAGTCACTGTATCAGAAGGATTGGCTGATACAGAAAACTTTCATGAAATAACATATGAGCAAGAGCCTATGGTGATGTGAAGGAGGAAGTTCAAGTTGCTCTGAAGGAATTGGGAAGAAAACAAGGCTCCGGGAGTTGACCAATTGATTTATAAATACCAATTGATTTATTTCAACAGACAGACCCTGCCCTGGATGTGCTATGTTGAAATCTGGAGTACAGCCAGGTGGCCAACTGGCTGGAAAAGATTGATATTTGTTCCCATTCCAAAGAAAGGTGACCCAACAGAGTGCGGAAATTATCGAACAATATCATTCATATCACATGCAAGCAAGATTCTGCTGAAAATTATCCAAAAACGTTTGGAACAATATGTCAACAGAGAACTATCAGATGTGCAGACTAGATTTAGAAGAGGTTGTGGTACTACGGATATTATAGCTAATGTTAGATGGATCTTGGCAGAAAACAGAGACTACCAGAAGAATGTCTATCTGTTCTTCAATGACTATGCAAAGGCATTTGACTGTGTGGATCAAAACAAGCTGTGTCTGACTCTGAGAAGAATGGGAATCCCAGAGCATTTGATCGTGCTAATGTGAAACCTACACTTGGACCAAGAGGCAGTCGTCAGAACAAAGCAAGGAGACACTACATGGTTCAAAATTGGGAAGGAAGTCCTTCAGGGATGTATTTTGTCTCCATACCTTTTCAACCTGTATGCAGAACAGATCATCCGAGATGCTGGGCTGTACGAAGAGGAATGTGGCATCAGGATTGGTGGAAGAGTAATCAACAACCTGTGTTATGTGGATGGCACAACCCTGCTTGCTGAAACTGAGGAGGACCTGAAGCACTTCCTGCAGAAGGTCAGGGACTGCAGCCTTCAATATGGAGTGAACCTCAACATCAAGAAAACAAAGATTCTCACCACTGGGCCAATTGGCAGCATCAGGATGGATGGTGAAGAGACTGAGATAGTTAACAGTTTCAGTTTACTTGGCTTCACAGTCAACACTCTTGGTACCAGCAACCAGGAAACCAAGAGATGAATTGCATTGGGAAAGCCAGCTGTGAGAGACCTCTCAAGAGTACTGAAGAGCAAGGACATCAGGCTGGAGACTAAGGTGATCCTGATTCAGGCTATAGTCTTGCTATGCATACATAATCGTATTTGCTATGAATCAGAGCATTGAACAGTGACTAGGGATGATAGAAAGGGAATTGATGCCTTTGAGCTGTGGTGCTGGAGAAGAGTGTTGAATATACCATGGACTGCTAGGAGAACAAACAGGTTTGTCCTGGAGAGGGTGAAGCCAGAGTTCCCCTTGGATTCAATGATTCTGAAGCTTCATCTGACATACTTTGGGCATGTTGCAAGGAGGGACTGGTCCTTGGAGAGGGACATCATGTTTGGGCGCAGGAGAGGAAGACCCTCAATGAGATGGATTGATTCTGTGATTAGGATGGTGGGAATGAGTGTGTAGGAGACGGCAAGGTTGGCACAGGATAGAACAGCGTTAAGGGCTTTTGTACATAGGGTCGCTATGAGCACAAGCAACTCGATGGCACATTAATAACAACAACAATCAGTACATTGTTACCTTTCTATGCTGCCTTTTAAGTTATAATTACAAAAGACAAACTCATTCTTTTTAAAAAGTATGTGAGAGAGAATTGTATGAAAGGAGTATATGATTAGGTATTATTGGCATGGCAAGAGTCCAGAATAAGAGCTGCATAATAAAGTGGTCTGGAGGCATGCAGGGAGGAAAATTTGCAATAATGAATGTATAGTTATCTTCATAAACTTTCCTTAAAATATCAATTTTTAAAAAAATGTATCATTACCAGTAATGTTCTTGTTTATCTTTGAAATATGTGATTACTGTTTACTTTGTTGAAAGGGAACTCTGGTGGCCTAGTCCATAGTGAATTGCACTGCTAGCTCCAAGGCCAGGCCTCTTTGGAAGTTCAAATTCATCAGCAGTTCCATGAGAAGAAGATGGGCACTCTTATCTTGTGCTTTTTACAGTTTCAAAAACTCAACGAAGGGTCAACTATGAGTTGGTTCCAATTCAATAGCAGTGACTATGCTTTTGAAAGCTGCACAGCAGTTAGACAAGTTATGCTTCATTTAACCTACATTGTCATATGAGGTGACTTATTTTGTTATGAAGACATTAGGATTGGTGGTTTCTTTCCAAGAACTTCTGAATTTTTGTCATGTTGCATGGAATCTTGTTTACGAAAGATCTTTTTTAATCAGTAACATCACCTGGGGCTTCTGTTTGGAAGAATGACAGCTTATTCATGGACTTAAAGTAACAGAAAGATGCTAAAATTATAAATTAATCAGCCACATTGTTGTGTTAGGTGCTGTCAAGTTGACCATACTCTTAGCAATCCTATGAGCAATAGATTTGAAAATCGTCCTATCCTGCACTATCCCGACTAAGTCCACCATGCTCAAGACCATTATTGCAGTCACTGAGTCACATTGTTTCTGTTAGAGTCAATCTATCTCCTGGAGGATCTTCCTGTTTTCCACTCTTGCTGTCTTCCTGACTCTCCACCATTCACAGCATGATGTTTTTGCCAAGGACTGAGACTTCCAGACAACATGCCAAAAGTATGTGTGATAAAGTTTTATTACCCTCTTCTGGAAGGAGCAACCTGGTTGAATTTCCTCCAAGACAGATTGCTTTATTCCTTTGTTAGTCTACGGGATATTCAATACTCTCCATCAACACAATTTGAAGACATTGATTCTACTTGGTTCTTTCTTTTTCATTGCCTAACTTTCAGATAAATACAAAGGAATTGAGAATTCCATGACTTGGATCAGGAGTATTTGTTTTTAAAATGTACATATTTGCTTCTTAGCACTTTTAATAGGCCCTTAACAGCAGATTTTCCCAATTTATAACATCTTTTTATTTCTTTTTTAAAATTTTCATCTTTTTATTGATATGCATATAATTATTCATATACATTGTGTTTCATTAATGTACATGTTGTGTTTTTTGGGGGGTGTTTAACAGTTTCTTTCATTAACATTCTATTTCACACAATCATTCTCATACATTGTGCTTTATAAAATTAATCTCCATTGCACTATGCCCAGTATGTCCCATCTGTTCAAGTCCCCTTCAGATCTTTTCCATTTCCTTTACCCCTTTCTTCCACACACTAAATCGTGTTACCCTGTGATTTCCTCTCTATCCATCCTCACCCCTCTGCTTCTACACCTTCTCAACTTAGACTCCCAAACACATTTTACTAGTTATCCTTCTATTTTTACAATAATGGTCTTGTTGTTGTTGTTGTTGTTGATTGCCTTCTAGTCTTATGCAGTATTTTTGCTTATGAGACTGAATTAGTCCACTCAGCATAATACTCTCCAATCTCTCCCAAATTATGTAGTATTTTTTAAATAATTTCTCCTGAATGCTGTGAAGTATTCTATCATATGAACATACCACAATTTTTCAATCCATTTAGTTGTGGTTGGACATTTGGCCGTTACCATATTCTTGCAATGATGAATAATGCTGCTATTGGTGTACAAATCTCCATTTGTGCCTCAGTTCTAATTTCATTGGGATATATTCCTAGTGATGGAACATCTGGGTCATACGGAGTTTCTATGTTCAGCTT